TAAATGAGTGAACTTAGCACAATATAACAATAAAAAATATTTGTCACCATAGTAGTAGCATGTACAACAAGAGGCAAAGGTCCATCTATTGCATAAAAAAACCATACAAGAAGGGGAAATGAGTGAACTTAGCACAATATGACAAATAAAAAATTATTGCATAAAGTATAAAAAAAAGTTGACGTTATCATTACGATAAATTAAATTATTAATTTTTTTTAATAAATTTCTAAATTTTAAATATAAAACCTAAATTTCTTAATAATAATCCAAAATTCCTTGTGCAATTAGTTAGAAAATGCTTTTTGAGTTCACATATATAGTCAAACTAATCAATAGGCATGTAAAATGATTCATATAAAGAAAATTAACTTCTAAACTCAAATAAGCAAAGGTAATATGCAATTAGTTTTTTTATTTTTTATTCGATAATTTATTCATTTAAAATTTGACTAATACACATATACTCGAAAAAAATTCACCTTTTCTATTCATGTATGCATGTCATTTGTTTAAATTTAAAATTTTTACTCCCTCCATTTCAAAAAAGATGACATAGTTTAACTTGAAATAGAGTTTTAAAAAATGACTTTTTAATCTTGTGATTCAAAATTAAAGTTTTGTCAGATGTACCAAAATATCCTTTAATATTGTGATCTTAAACATACTACATGAAAATTAAAATTAAAATGTTGTAAAAAAATAAATCATTCATTTTTAAATAGAATGAAAAAAATTTCATTCTTAATTTACTTTATTTTTTTAAATCACGCCCCGGTGCGAATAAGTTTTTCTGTCCATTTACCTAAACACTACTCGTGATAGACTGTTATAACAAAATGGGGATAGTACCCTTTATTTATTTTTTTACCAATTATAACCTTTTGTGAATCTTCACTTCCTTCCTATTTTTTCCTATAAAAAGACCCCTCTCTACTGCTACTACAACTCAATAGGTTAAATTCCCAAATATCTATATTTCTTCTTGCCCCAAATATTTAGCCCTAAAAGTATCCTTTCTTTTCCCCAAGCCCCAAAAAAAATAAAAAAAAATCTCTAATTTAGTTGTTTGTTTTTTGATTTTTAGGTTATATAATTGAAATTGATAGGAAGAAAGAGTGATTATTGTTGACAGAAGATAGAGAGCACTAATGATGATATGCTAATTTCATTCAATTTGGGCAGCAAAAGCATCTCAATTCATTTGTGCTCTCTATGCTTCTGTCATCACCTTCACCTCTTTCGTAAAAATATTTAAATCTGTGCGATACAAAAACAACTTAGGTTGCGCCCTATAGGTTTTCCAACCAAAAATTGTACTAAATTAGTTTTATATCTGTATAATTTTGATCTGTTTGTAATTTTGTTTTTAGATCTGGAAGCGAGATTGTTCGATTACTAACTGTGATTACAGTTATGTGTATATTTTTGCAGCGGGCGATCCAAATCTTCTGGGTTTTGACAAGTACTCAACAAATAAGCCATGTAATTAACCCTCTACTCTTTCTCTTAAATATATTTTTGAATGGTAGTTTAAAGTAATCACAGTTGGTTTAGTTATTTGGATAATGTAATCTCAACATATAGTTTAAACAAAAGTGTCACTCTTTGAGACTACACTTTTATTTAAGCTTGTTTACCTAAGAGATTAACTAGTTACTATGTCTTAACCTTGTTTAGATTAACTAGTAACTATGTCTTAGACAGAGGTAATTTTTTCACAAGGATTGGACTCTAATTGAGCTTTATAAGCTTTAAGTTTATGTTACGTTGTTTAGACTTTTCAAAAATGTTATACAATTATATTGGATTATTTTTGAGATCTAAGACATATCTATAAATATTTTTGAAGAATAACTTTGCTAGATGTATGTTCAGGTTCCAATAATCCTATGGCATATGATAATAGACTTTGTAGGGATAAAAGATCATGTGATGTTTTAGGAATTAATGTATTCACAAGTTACACCAAACAAAAATATGGTGTGACAAACTGGAATACAATTAAATCAAAATGAAAAGGAGTAAATTGGTCCACATGATAATTTTATGGTTATCATCACATGTAAAGCGTAAACAATTTCTTCATCTTTAGAGATAAAAGTGTAAATAAAAAAGCCAAACTTAGGAACAAAGATTAAAAGGCCAGATGACTTGAACATATTTTTGGTTCCTAAAGTTAAAAACAAAGGCCAAAATCTTCAATTTATTTCTATTCTTTCTATTACTAGTTAGAGATACTAGTATATATTTAATGTCAAAAACAAAATAAATAACACTCATATAATTGGTCTACTCAAATTGATTTTCAGGAAGGAAATTGTCAAATGTTTTGTATCTTTTTCTCCCTTAAATCTCTTATACATTTATTGTGATGTATATATGTTAGTTGTGTTTATTTCTCATCATTATAATTGAACACTAGAGATGTGACATTATTATATAAATAGGGAAAAATGTACATTAGTTTTTGTGTGAGAAAGTTTATAATAGTATTTTGTAATTGGAATATCACTAGTATTGTGGAATGTTAGTCTTTGTATGTGTGATTAGTAGTAATAATTTTGAACATTTCCAAGACATGCAGTACACAGTGGCAGAGCCAAAAGTTCTGATGAAAAAACATATATTTCCAAGGAGTCTCATAAGTAACACTTTTAATTAAAAGATAAGATTTTCTCTTGCTTTAGAGGATTTGGAGGTAGGAATAGTAAGGGATTAATGGAGTAATAAGAATACTTGGGTGGATCATTTTAATTGATAAATTAATTTTGACTAATGAATTCATTTATATTGTCATTACAACATAGAAAAATTTTAGAAATGATTTTAAGTTTTTCACCTACAAAACTTTGAACTTTGTTTTCATGTCCATTTTGTTTCGATGTGGAATTTTTTTTTATCTTTTTGAAAGGCATTTCAGCGAGAGAGGACTGAGAACATAATTTTAAATTGCAAATATCCCTTTTCCATATTATTTGTTTAAAAAAATCTCAATCAAATAATGTCCTCAACTTTTACAAAGGAGAAGGTTAAACTTTGTTTCAAAAGAAGTGGTATTTTTTTAGCCTTTTTATTTTAATAGTTGATCTTATTGTTTATAATACATAAGATTGTACATCATTAAAGAATCACTTCTTCAACATAATTAATTAGGGTAGGGGTAAGTAATATATATAAACACAAAATAAGTTTTTTCAAGCTAAAAACATCATTTATTTTAAAACGGAGAGGGTAACCTTCTTTTTTCTTTTCAATAATGAATTCTCATTGTCCAGCAGGTTCAATCTTAAATTGCACTCACACTCACTAATAATTAGTGAGGTTGTTATACTTCTTTCGTTTTTATTTTATTGTCTTTATTTTAGATTTTATGTTCTAAAGAACACTTTAATTTTTTTATATTGGTCAAATATATACTTATAAGGCCAATAACTTGACACACGCCTTATAAATAAAACGTAAATAATATGAATAATAACATTATATTACCCTTTCAATATATTATTTTATGTTTTGAGAAATGTATTAGATGTTAAATTGTATTTAACAGTAACAGTAAAATAGTCACAAAAAAGATAAAATTATCTCTTAGTTTTCTAAACTGACCATATATTTTTGATTGGACATTTATTTTTAGTATAGCGGAATAGTAAAGATGGACACAAGAGTATTTCCTCTGTACTTGTTCACTTTTGAATTGACGAACCTATTGCAAAAAAATGATGGACATGATGAATTAAAATTTAAGATTTTTAAGAAGTTTCATTTTTTAAAAATATTTAATTGAGAGTATAATAAGTAAAAAAAAATTCTTTTTTTTTAGTTATCAACATAGACAAGTAAAAAAGAAAAATTAAATAAGTAATAAGGACGAAAAAATATTTAAAAACATCTATTTATAATAAAAACAACATACATATAAGAATGATGGAAATATCACATTCGATTATTTTAGGGAAGCTAATCATGTTTTTATCTTAAGACCAGATAACTCATTTCTATAGTTTTAAAAATAAAATAATTAATTTTAAAATTAATTATCTCTTAGATAGCAATATAAATGAATTGTACACATAAAAGAAGTCCAAAAGATGTCCGGCTGAATTTCAGGTTATGCAGTTGTGACAGTTCCGGTTTTTTCCTTTTCTAGTCAAACTACTTGGCCGAAAATTTCGGAACAAACTTTTTCCAAAAACAAAAAAAAAACATGTATTTAATAGAGATTGTTTATTTATTTTAGTTACATGTATATGGATAAATTCTTGTATTAACTTTATTATTACTCCCTCCATTATTGTTCGTTATAATTTCTATTTTTAGAATCAAATTATTAATATTAGATGTATTTTTTTAATCATATTAATATGTAAAAAAAATTATGATTTACAGTACTTTTCATATAGTTTTAGAATATCTAGTATTTTTATTTAAAATATCGAATTATAGTGATCCAATTTACCTTTGAAAACTAGTTAAATTGACTTTTGATAAGCATAACATGACTAATAATTTCAGATGGAGGGAGTACTGTTTTTAATCCAAATATTTCAAAGAGAACTTAATATTATTATAATGAAATGTTATTATAAAGATGTTTGTGTGTATATTAAATATATGAAGTATGTATTTATATATAAAAAGGTGTACCACATGTTGAAGCTCGTGATCAATTATTAGCTGAAAATTGTGGGGAAGGTGAAATAAGGAGGCAACCTCCCGCTCCACGCCCTCAAGAGTACCATCCTACGCAACCGTCGATGGGATCAGAAACTCTCAAAAATTTCAGCCCGAAAAATTTGTTAAGTCTTGAACGACGGACGGACTTTATATTGTCCAATCTCTTGGGATTACAAAGTGTATATATTTAATTGTTGAATTCTGTTTCTCAATATCTTGAAATTACAAAATGTTTTATTTATTTTTAAACATAATAAATACACAATTTAAATAAAAAAAATTAAAGTTTGATTAAAAAATAAAATTATTGTTTAAATAAAATAAAATAAATAAATATTATATTTGAAGATGAAGATAATCTGTAGCAATGATGGTAGTAGTGATTGATGCTAATGTCTAGCAATAGTGAATATGAGTATTGTTGTAGAGATATGTGTGATGAATGAGAATCGGTACTTGATAGTGATAGTAGTGGTTGTAATGGTGAAGCTAGCTAATGTTAGTGATTAACTAGTTGGTTGACGGTTGTGCACATTAAAATTATTATGACATAATAGTATACTCCTCTTAATGATATGTGTAAATACATAAATCTTAATATAAACACACGTTGTTAATTTTCTAAAAGTTCAAATTATTCGAATTCAAATCTCATGACAAATAAGTTAGAGAAAGAAAAATAGTGTCACTTTCTTTATAATGAATGAACAAAAAAGAGTTATTCCTGTCCTCACATATTTTTATGCCCATTCCACAATGCATCTTGAATAGTAAAAGGTAGTGGTGAGTGATTTGGACCTAGATATAGTATTCATCACACATTCTAATTTCTATTACCCTAAACAAAACAAACAAACCCCAAAATATGAAGCACCACACATACCCTCAACCCCACCATCTCTCTCTATCTTTTTTCTTTTCATCTCCCTTAATGAAACACATGTTATAAAAATATGTTAGAAATTTTAAATGAAAGATGTATGTTATTTTCTCTCCTCAATAATCTTTGTTTACTATTAATTTTGCATATTTCGTAAGAAATTACAAATAAAAGGGTAATTTTACTATATCGCCCTTTGAATAATATATATACAATATTTTGAAAAAATGTACGAGAAATAACGGTAATTAATGATAAAGATAAAAATTTAAAAAATTAAGTGTAAAATTATTCATTAGTTTTATAAAGTTGATAAATTGTTGGACATTGTAAAATAATATCGATGAACAACTATTATCGAACAGATGAGAGGGATGCATTCAAATGCCCAAATCTTGTGTGGTGGTCTTGAACACGTAAAAATATTGGTACTTCTAATTGATTGACCCATAAGCATTTACTCTTTTTTTTTTTTTTTTTGGTTGAAAGCTTGATTCCAACTTTTTTTAATTAGTCTATTATATATATATATATATTGTAAAATTTTAAAAAGTAATATTATAGATATATTGAAGAGTAATATATACTTTATATATTTGGAACTATTATTAGGAATTTTGAAATTTTTGTATTCGAAAAGAAAATTGATTCGAATAACATTTGAAAAAAAATAAAATTAAAAGAAATGGAGTAGATAGAATTGAGTGTCCCTACATGTCTAATCTTATAAGTACAAGAGAAGAATTCCACGTTCATTAGCCAATCAATAGTCGAAAGGTGTAACCTCGTATTATGACTTCTCATCATATCATTAACCTACATTAATCACAAGTACTACTCATAATTAATTCTTCTACATTCTCCATTATCACCTAATTATTTGTGGATAAATAGTGACTGATTCGACAAAAAGATTTTTAAAAAAACGTGTAAAACAAAATTGTTTTTATTAAAATTAAATTATTTTTAATGGTAGAAAAGTAACCATTTCTATAAGAGTAAAAAATGAAATGCGTCAGCTAAATTGCTCTGCTCTAAGGACATCTTCAATCCTGTTCTCTATTTTGCTTCTTAAAGTTGTTTATTTTTTCATATAACTAATTCTAACTCAACTTTTTATTTTAAATCTCATAAAATTTTTTTTCTCTCTTTAATATTATATTATTTATTTGTCTTTCATTCTTATTTTTTTATTTCATAATATAGATCATTCTTTATTTTTTTCTTTATTACAAATAATTACTTTAAATTATATTTTATCCTAACTTTCTAAATAGTAAAAATTGCAATAAATATTATAATATATTAACAAACATTAATATAAAACTGAAATTATTGATGAAATATAATTGCATCATGAATATTATATTATTATAAAATTTATTTTAAACTTTACATAAATATTCGACTTTCAAGATTATTACGTTACTCTCATAAATGTTCTATCAATTTATTGCGGAATTCAAAATGAATATTTTTTGTCCTTATTTTTTATGCGTAGCTAAATTTATTTAAATTAACAATTTCATCTTGTTTCCAATTTTTTTTCATGTAATTTACTTCTTCTATTCTATTTTGAACTATTGCATCAAATATTTTCATGTTTTTCAAAAAGTATAGTTTAATAATTTATCACTAAAACATAAAAATAGATTATTTAAATTATCATATAAATTTTATGCATACAATATAATGAAAAATAATTATAATCTAAATTATATATTTAAAATGAAAATAAAAAATATTAGAGATTTGATTAATAATCTTATATAATATAAATAATATTATAATTACTTTTAATTACCTAGTTAAATTGACTATTTCTTTTAAAAAATAAAATAGAAAAATTATTAATTTGGACGAAAATAGTAACTTGTTAATATTATATTTTAAATATTATATCACATTAGAAAATAATTAAAAATGATAAAAACTCAAACAATAATATAGTAGAAATAATATTATAATAATAAAAAAGTAAAACAGATAGGTAAATAGTAATTTCCCAATCTATAATTAAAGAATAGAGAGTGACTGAAGAACCTATTTACTATTTTACTCACCAAATATAGAGAATGGAGAGTAAAATAGAGATGGGTCGGAGATGATCTAAAGCTCGCGTCGCTATCTTTTTCTCTGTCGAGAAGCTAAAGATTTTTATTGAAAAATATCATAGTATAATTTTAAAAAGATAATATTAGTTTATTTTAACCATTATGAACAAATACCGTCTCTTGTTTTTGTTTCTGTTCAGATTACTAACTATACTAGTAAGTAATTAAAATTATATTCTCTTCAGGCTTGATTTACTTATACCTAATCACTAAAACATTAACACAAGGCTGATTTGATAGGATGTATAATTGTCGGATTAGTTATGCTTGCAGTTTGGTTTGTTATCTCAAATAAAGAATAAGAATATAACCCTAACCACATAAAGAGTTAAATAAATACTCATTTAATATTAAAGAAACAGATAATATATAGAGTTTCTTACCTGAAAAAGAATATTGGTGAAAACATCTGCTGAGAAGTGAGCATTGAACTTCATTTTTTATCTTCCAACAATATTATTTTGAGGTTAGAACATCATGAGTCTGAAAATGGAATAAGGAAAGGGAAGTGAAACACTCATGAATTGAAATGTGGATGTTAGTTCTTCAATTTGTGTGGACAAGAATTAAATTAATACTCTGTCTGTTTATTGTTTTAAACTTTGCACGTCTCTTAAAAAAATACTAATAAAGAAATAATCGTCTGTTTTAAGAATTTATTCAGAATAACAAATGACAAATAAAAATTTATTTATAAAAAAAACTAAACGAGTAAAAATAAAGGGAAAGAAAAAGTAGGTAATAGCTAGTAGCAATGTTCAAGAGACATATATATGGGGATTTGTGTCGAAGCAAAAAAGGAAAAGGAGTTTTTACTGCTTCGACTTGTCAACAGTACAGTTGCAATTTCTGCTATTCCTCAGACCACTTCCCTAATAAGTAGATATGTAAGGCTTCATATATAACCCTCCTCTTCATTTACGTTCAATTTATGTGATTACATTTGACTTGACGTAACATAAATAAATACTGTTTGAATGTTATCTATTTGGATATGTTAGTACATTATTGGAGTAGTAGCTTTTTTAGCAAACAATATCCAATGAGGGCAAACTTTTTGAGTTGAATGAATTTAATTATTTTTATGTATACGAAGAATACAAGATATACGGAGGTGGTCCTAAAAAGCCAATTTTACAAACACTATAATATAATAAGTAGATAGTCAAAAGCAAGTGGGGGCATAAATTTCGACTTTCTATAGTGTTTTGATTATCAAGTGGACAACTAAATGTATCATAATTCAATGCACAAACAAACATCAAAGGGTGTGGGACAATGTTGTGTACGTGTTCGTGCATTCATTAAAAATAAAGGTTTGATTTATATGGTCATTTTATATGTAGAACCATGTATAGATGATACAAGAGTGCAAACTTTTATTAAATCGTTATTTTAGATTTCTGATATGTCACATATATATATATAATATATATTAAGTCGTTTATATTCTACTATTATGTTAATTTATGTGGTCAAAATTTACATAGTTAACGAGACAATAATTAACTATACTAAGCTAATTAACCATAAATTGGAAAGTTACTGTAGCTAAGTAATTCTAGGAAATTAACTGTAGCTAACTAACTATTACATAGTTAACAGAATTAAATAATTTCTAACAATAACCACGTTTTTTTAATATTCAATCAGCTTTCACGTACCTCAATTAATTTCACGAGATACATATCACTTTTTCACTTGCAATATGAACTAGATAACTCCATCTACTTAGACAAGGACAAATAAATAGCACTTAGTGTTTTTATTTTTATTAGAATTTAAACATGAAACTTCACAATTCTCAACTCACTTCATTAACCACTATGTCACACACTCACGTGTGATTATCAAATCGATCACATAAGGGATTAACTACATAGTCACAAGCAAGGAGAGATCCACGAGACGTTCTTCCTCAAGATCAATATGAAGTGTTGATAAAAGTTCATAGAAGATTTTACATATCACAAGGAACAAGTTTCATTCAAATCAAAATAAAGGAGGAGTGACACATATGGACATTGCACATGCCATGTTACTTTAGCAGATGAATTGTTATATCTGATGTAAGTTTGTAAACAGGAATTCGGAGCTTAAAGAGTGAAAAATGTTAATAAAAATTTCAAAACGGTCTATGATTTTTTTTAAAAAAAACCAAAACGACAAAATCTCTCACTAGATAGCGATTTTGTCCATTGAAAAAAGTAAAATCGCTGCTATAACAACGATTTGTTAAATTTTTTTTTTAAAAAAAATAAATTCAAAAGGAGCGATTTTCAAAAAATATATATTTTTATTATGTCGCTGCTGAGACACCGACTTGAGTTCAATTTTTTTTTAATTATCTTTTGCTTCTTTTTTTTTTTTTAAAATATCAAATCGCAACGGTTTTTAATTAAATTTATTTATTTATTTTTTAAAATCAAATCGCTGCCAAGGCAGCGATTTTAAATCAAAATCTTTTTAGCGATTTGATTTTAAAAAATAAATAAATAAAATTAATTAAAAATCGCTGCCTTGACAACGATTTGATTTTAGTTTTTTTTTAATTTAAACTTTTTTTAAAAAAAGAAGCAAAAAATAATTTAAAAAAATAATTAAACTTAAGTCATCGACATATTATAAAAAGAAAATTTTATTTTGGAAATCGCTCCTTTGGGAGCGATATTGTTTAATTTTTAATTAAAAAATCAAATTTAACAAATCACCTATTGCAACGATTTTACTTTTTCCATTGGACAAAATCGCTACTTCATGAGCGATTTTACCGTTTTGGTTAAAAAAAAAATTCATATACCTTTTAAAAAAATTTGTTAACATTTTTCACCCTTTATGCTCCGAACTCTTGTAATCAGGGCATTCTCCTTTGTTTTGGTAATCAAAAAGATTTTCTTTCAATATCGTACCTGAGACAACCTGCACTAGGCTCACGAAATACTTGTCACCTCCACCTCCGTAAAGAGTGTAAGTTCTAGATGGTCAATGTTTATCATCTTATTATTTTACTTTCTTTGATTTGCTTCCTAGAGAAAAAAAAATAAATTAAAATTAAAATTTGTGTATGCCTTTGAGCAAAGACATTAAAATTATGTTAATTATTGTATTAATAAGCTAGAGTTTTTTTCTTGATTATTTTGTCATTTGAAAACTTAAGTTGATAAATTAGCTTCTTCGTTTTATATTTCTTTTTGCTGAATTAAAGAGCCGTTTTTAAGTGTTCCGTTGATATTATTAGTCTTACCTTATAGTATAAAATAACTAGGCTTTATTGATTTTGGTTTTTATAATAACGTGGTCAAGATTCACTTCATTCATTCTTCTGGAAGATAGCATTGACTAATGAAATAAAAAATATAATAACAGATCCACCTCTGAATCAGAAAAGATCATGGATGCATGATATATAATATTTTTCTGCATTTTCCATGATATTACAATTCTTTATGAACAAATTTTATCTATATTATATCATTTTTTCATTATTTATTTGCTCATAATTTCAAAGTATAACATTGTGAATGGAATTTAGGATTCAGTCTAATAAGTTTGGTGTCCACTTTAATATATACACAAATTGCAAAAAATAATGTATATACGTTGGGTGTGTGCGTAAACTTGGTCGTAACATCCAAAAAATCTCTTAAAATTTATTCAAATGTTTTTTTTTTCCCTTTTTGATTCAACGAAAATATAATTTTTTGGGTGTTCGATTGTTGGAACTTGACTGCAATAGATTTGTTTGAGTAAAATAAATAAATAAATAAACAAAGGTATTTAATCCTTTTAGTAAAACTATTTTAAGGGACATCCAAAAGTCAAACATGATAGATAAATAGATAGGAAAGAGTATGTACACCTAATTATTTTATTAAATACAAGCTGAATGAGTCGTGTTAGTCTTTTCAATTTATGGAAGTAATAAAAAATATTGTATACTATTTTATTTTTTATATTTTTGGTTCCATCATAGCACCTTCCTATAAACACCTATATTAATGCATATAATGACTAGAGAGTAAAGCAAAATATTCAAACAAATTGTATCAGTCACAGATTCTTTTTTTAAAAAAATGGGACAAGTGAAGTTGATAGGGTCATCAGGGAGCTTATTTTGCACTAGAGTAGAATGGGCTTTGAAGCTCAAGGGAGTTGACTATGAATATATACAAGAAGATTTATTGAACAAGAGTGAGTTGCTCATCAAGTCCAACCCTGTTCATAAGAAGATCCCTGTCCTACTACACGACGACAAACCCGTCGTTGAATCTCTGCTTATTCTTGAATATATTGATGAAACATGGAAAGGATACCCTCTGTTGCCTCAGGATCCTCATGAACGAGCTACAGCTCGTTTCTGGGCAAAATTTGTTGATGACAAGGTACTTTTTTCTTTCTTGGTATGATCCAATTCTTCGAATTATAAGGCATACAAAAACTTAGCAGATTCCTAGACTGTTTTTTTGTCTTGAGCACTGGGGGTCTATCAGAAACAGCCTCTCTACCTTACCTACGAGGTAGAGGTAAGGTCTGTGTACGTACACACTACCCTCCACATACTTCACACATTGGGTATGTTGTTGTTGTACAAAAGCTAGCAGATATATGTACTAAGTAACATTCAGATAGCTTATCAGAGAACTGCAATCATATATATGGAACCATTTCAAGAGATCATGATACACAAGTTAATGCATCTGGTTAAAACATCATAGACAAGAATAGCAAATGACTAAATGATAGCTTTTCTGATTGTGTTAATTTTCATGTTCAGTGTGTCATAGGATCATGGGAAGCTATGGCAATGCAAGATGAAGGAGAGGCAAAAACAAAAGCTATAGAGTCAATACAAGAATTGTATGCATTTATCGAGAAGCAGATTGAAGGCAAGAAGTTTTTTGGCGGGGAGCAGATAGGCTACCTGGATCTAGTTATGGGTTGGAAAACTCTTTGGCTCAGTGCCATGGAGGAAGTAGGAAATGTGAAGCTACTTGATCCAGAGAAGTTCCCTTCACTCCATCAATGGGCTGAAAACTTCAAACAGATTCCTATTATAAACGAGTGCATGCCACAACAAGAGACCCTAGTCAACTACTTTCAAGTTGGCCTAAACTACTTGCGTTCCCTAGCAGCAAACAAACCATGAGTCTCCTTTTATAATCATTTTGAGTGTTGTGGTGATGTCATTTTGTGTGCAATTCCTACTGTTATTTGTTTATTGTTATAGCCCTTATTTCTCAGGTATGTAAGGACAATAAGTCTTTATCATGGTGATTTTATATTGAAGTTGCTGTTACGTATATTTCTGTGAGACCTTTATGTAAACAGACAACAGCCCCATTTGCAACATCAAGAGCTTGAACCAAGATGAAACTGATACCACCAATGATCTTGATTGTCCAAACATCATTGCTAATGCGTCTGAACCAAATGAAGCTGCTATAGACCTATAGTATTATATCTACGAGCCATAAAAATATGCAAACAAGAACCTTATTCTATATTCTTGTAATCTAGTTTACAAAGATTTTTCAATCTAAGAGTAATACCTATTAACACACAAGTAAAAGAACTGAAACAGTGAAGGAAGGGTTGACATAATCTGTCCTAGTTCCTTTACATATACCATACACTTCATAAATTCAGCAGTATAGTATTTCTATGCAACCTCATGTGCACTGGGGGAGTCAAAACTATACATACATACAGAAGCTTTCAGGAATAGCCAACACGTCTACAACGGACCCAGAAAGCTGTCCCTCCACTCCGTCCTCGAGCAACAGCTATTTCCTCGTCAATGTAAAACCAGATGAAAAATGGATCCTTATCCTTATTGCTAGGTTCTCTTTCCTCTTTACCCTTAATACTGATATCAAAAGGATTGAATGGTCCAACTTTTATCCGAAGCCGCTCAAACACGAAAGCTAGAATCCTATTCTTCCATGAAAATGGTCCTTCAAATGTCAAGAATCCAAGAGGCCCCAGGTAAACACCATTTTCAATCCTCTTCGCCTAGAATTTTAGTCAAGAATATTATTCATCTTAGGATTGAAAGAAGAAAGCATCTATACTCTGCAGTTAAATTGCAGTGCATCATCTGAACAACTAAAGGAAGCAGATATTTAAAGTGAGAATGTAGTTTGCTTGTATAGCACAAACAAAGATATTTGAATTGCGGGTATGCACTTGTTTATTTATCTTTTTCTCTTGGATTTGAAGTTAATTCCAAGAAGGGAAATGTACACTAAGATAGTCATTTCATAGAAGATCCGCGGTGTAACATTATATCACTAGATACACAATTTACAACTGACAAGAATTAGCAATTACTATAGGTCTCTATGAGATTGAATTATATGATGTTATCTCATCTAACAGTTTACACAATTACAAACAAAAGGATCTGTCATTCATATTCTCTAGTTTTATCTTCTAAAGTAAGAGTAATGTCCATAATTAGTGTTAAGAGACGGATAAAAAAGACAAGTAGAGCTTACAGCTGCATCAAATCTCTGTATGGCTGTAATTGGGAAATATCTACCTTGTCCTAATCCTTTCTGCAATATAAAGGTTCCAAGTTAAAATGAAGCATTGGACAAGATAGGGAACTTGATCAAAGCATAAAAAAACGAATGAAAATAAAAATCAGTTACAAACATCAGCTGTAAAAATGAGCATCCATGTTCTTCCAGGCGACTTGGCTCCACCAAGAGTCTCAAGAAACCTGGAGGAATCAATTTTTGCTCTCTCGATCGCAGCCAAAGCAGCTAAAATCTCCTCTGCTGGAACCTTTCTTGTTTTGGCAGCATTTTTCAGCACTCTTACACTCTCTTCAACTTCCTAAATTAAAATTTTACCAATATAAATTCACACAACCGGTTGCAAAACGAAAGTGAATAATCCAACCAGTCTAAAAAGGTTTTATTTTTTTTCCTCGTAATTCATTTAAATAACTAATAAAACCTTTTTCTTTCTTATGATTATTAGCAGATAGGAGTGCATTGTCTTGTTGCCCTTACTAGTTGTCATACGACTACTCTCGTAGTTCTTGTTCTTCAATTTAGGTAAATTTTAGGTTTGCGCACACTCTACCCTACTCAAACCCTACTTTGTGGGACTACAATAGTTATTTTGATGTTGTTGTTGTTATTATTAGGTAAAACATATCAAACAGAAAAACAAGTTTTTTTTATGAGTCAATTTAGACAAGGTATAAACTCAATTTTTTAGATGAGCTCAATTGAGCTGATCAAAATCAGTTGAATTGTGCGGTTAATGTCTTCAGGGAGGCTAATTTTGTCACTACAACTAGTATTCTCACTCTCCCTCTAGAATTAAATAATTTTGGGAAAAACATATAGTATACAAATCCTCTGAATATAGTAAAATTCTGCAGCAATCTTACTTAAAATCCATGAAGAAAAGGAAAAAGTGAAGTGATACCTGGTTGAGTAGTTCATTTTCTTTATCTTGAATGAGAACGGGAGGTTGAGAATTCTGGTCCTTTTCGTCATGAATGGCTCTGGTTTTTAGAGCAGAGAATCTCAGAGGAGTTAGTAATTTGGAGTGATGACAAGGGATATGGAAAGTGCAGATTGAAGGGTTTGTACTCCATTTCAAGGACAACAAGGAAGAAGATTGCAGAAGCATCTCATAAGTGGCTGTGGCTCTAGTTATTTCCTCCTTTTGTTTTTGCTTTTCAATCAATGAAGTGCATCCACAAATTCAATAATACATCCGTACGTCTAGATTAATTAATTACAACACATCATTTACTGCATTTTTTCTAACATACACTATAATCTTAATTTGACAGTGTAAAAATTTCTGATTATATAATCATGAATACACTAACTCTAGACAATATTGTTGCGCATATCTATCGAAAGGGGTGAGCCACCCTGATTGGGTATGTTGTCCCACACTAATCTTAGACCAAGAAAGAAATGCATATTCCCGGTGTGTAAGAGAGGATCGAAACGGTCACATATTGTAACGGATTTAGATTATTTGTTAAGACTACATGCGGCACTTGACAACTTACTCACGAATCTTTTCATGATCCCTTTTATACTAAGATCGCTAAGAGAATGAAAGAAAGACTTAGAAAATTTTGGAAGAAGACTTGTATTGCTTCGAAAGATTGCTTACGACTTGCTTGGTTGATTTACAAATGAGAACCTCCTATTTATACTACTACCTAGGGGCTAAAGTGTAAATAAAAATTACTTACAAGTCCCTATTCTAGAAAAGTCGACACTTTCTAGGATCTTCCAAAGCCTTTTTTGAAAAGTCTAAGTTATTCTAGAGAATTCTAAGCTTTATTTATTGATCTAGAAGGTTCTAGAGTTTTTCCCAAACCTCTCTTCAACTCTAGACCTTTCCGCCTTTATTTGGACACAAAATTTAACTAGGATGTGGCGGGACGTGACACTCTCCCCCACCTATTGATACGACGACCACGTCGCATCGTTACTTTATCGGCGATCGAGTCTTGTCTTCTCATATGCGCGACCAATAGTCCATTGACTAGATCAATGCCCTCGCGCAACTCTTTCAATTGTTTCTTTATCTCTTTTAACTCGGCCTCATGATCTACCTCCTTCTTAGGAGGCAAGCGCCTCGACGGCTTCTTTGGCATCACGATGTTGTTCTCTCTTGAAAGCTTCTTCATGCCTGGTGGTAATGACTTCTTAGCACCATTGTCTTCTTTCAAACTTGTAATGGTGGCTAAAAATGTTGACTTCTCCTTCTTAGGATTTTTCTTGAGCTGCATGGCCGTTAGTCGAACCTGCCTTTCTGTCTTTCTCCATGACAATAAGTTGTTGGAGGTAAGGATCGATCACTGTGTGGCACTCCTGGAAAAACTCCTGCCCAATAATTATATCAAAAAGATCTAAAGGAGCGACAGTGATGTTGGTTTTACCTTGCCACTCGCCTAGCATGATGCTTACTCCATGCGCAACTCCACTAACGGGAGTAGGTGGTGCATTGACCGTCCTAAGTTGGGTGTTACTTGGACTGTAATGCAGCCCCAACCTTGTCGCTGCCGTCTTGGTCATGATGTTGACCTCCGCACCTGTGTCGACCATAGCACGAGCGAGTCTTTTATTGATCGTGATGTCGACATACTGTGCGCCGCATACTCTCGGCTTCTCTTGTTTCTTGGTGATAGCTCCACATAGTCCTATCAAGCCCAACTGCGTCATCTCCGCACTTGTTCTTGCTCATGTGCTTCCTCATGTGCTTCTTTCTCTTTCCGCTCTCGCAGGATAGCACCAAGGCTCTTCAGCTCATGGCACCCCGCATAGCCATGCAGCCCAGTGCATATGTAGCAACCACCTCTTTTGGCAACCTATGTCTTTCTTTCAATGTTGTTATGACATCCAGACCTCTTGCCATCGGACTTATATGTGTCATAATTCTTAGGATGTGGTGGCTGCTCCTCGCCTTTGCCACGATCTCCCCCACCATGGTCATGACTACTTCTCACTTCATCTCCTTTGGCTTTGTTAGGCTTTCCATTCTTTAAGTCTGTTAAAGCTTCGGCCTGCATGATGACTTCATCAATCGTCGTGACCTATTGGCGTTCCATCTTCGTCTTGGCCCAACTTTGCAACCCATCCATGAAGTGGAACAACGTATCTTCATCGGTGAGGTTGGGAATCTGTAGCGTAAGGGTGGTGAACTCCTGCACATATGCGTGTATGCTGCCCGTTTGCTTCAGTTCCCTAAACTTGTGCTTTGCCTTATAGATGACGTTGTTAGGGAAGAATGTCTTCTTGAACTCCTCTTGGAATTGCTCCCAAGTGTTGATGGTGCAACGCCCCTTCCCTATTTCTGACTCTTTACGCCTCCACCATAGCATGGCCATCTCCGAAAGATACAACACGATAGTATTGATCTTGTTCTCGTCGCTTCTCACCCGACTACACTTGAAGTAATTCTCCAAGTGCCACAAGAAATTCTCTACCTTTTGCGCGTCACGGACGCCTTTGAACATAGGTGGCTTGGAAGCCTCGACCTTGGCTTCCTTATCTCGATCGAAAGACAACGATCCTCCAACTTCTATGCCTTCCTTGAGTGCTTTTATTTCGGCCTTCAGAGTCTCAATCGTACCAAGTGATTCCGTAAGCTGACGCTCCAACGAAGTGATGGTCTCCTTCGCGTTAAGCACATCTACAATCCGACATTCCAAGGAAGTGATGGCCTCCTTCATCTCGAACTCGGTCCGTTGGCGACCTTCCAACTCCTTCTGGATGCTCTCGATCTCCTCAAGGGTGAAGTTCTCAAGGGTCTTGAACTTGCCGTCGGCCACATTCATGCAACAGGCTATATCTCTACGGCCTGTCTTGCCACTTCCACCCTTTCGACCCATTTTCTCCAGCTATGACGTCTATGTCGTCTTCGCCCATTTCTTCGTCACTTGCTTCGATAGTCGATGGTGGATGAGATGTTAGCACCTCGCTAGGTGTGAAATCGAGCAACACCTCCTCTTTCGATTCTTCTTTCCACCATCCAAACGGACGTTGGTGGTGCTAGCGCCGTTTACATCTCGTTCGGTAGTCATTCCCTTAATAACAAACCTCGCTCTGATAGACTTAGAGTATTCGCTAAAGCTCCTTCCGACACTTAACAACTTACTCACGAATCTTTTACAATCTTGTAAGCTCAAGTAAGCATTTTATACTAAAATCGCAAAGAGAATGAACGAAAAACTTAGAGAATTTTGGAAGAAACTTATATTGCTTTGGAATATCGCTTACGACTTGCTTGTTTGATTTACAAATGAGAACTCCCTACTTATAATACTACCTAGGAGCTAAAGTGTGAATAAAAATTACTTACAAATCTCTATTCTAGAAAGTGTTTCTAGAATCTTCCAAAGCCTTTCTTGAAAAGTCTAAGTTATACTAGAGAATTCTAAGGAATTTTCTCGCCTTCTTGATTGATCTAGAAGGTTCTAGAGTTCTCCGCAAACCTCTCCACAACTCTAGAACCTTCCACCTCTATCCGGACACAAAATTTAACTAGGATATGGCAGGACATGACACATATACTGTAATAATATGTTCCGCAAGATATCTTTATATAATGTCTAAAAAATATACGTCCTGGATTATATAAATATCAGCTCAATAAACTAATAGTCATAGCCAATGTCAAGAATTGAATAACAGATGTGCAGCTCGCATGAACTTAAAGTTCCAATGCCAAAATTTTGTTTTAAGTTATGATGGCACAAGTGTATAACCAAATAACCTCATACTTGATATCGTTCTAGAAAACAATACATCATCGGATGGAGGCGAAAATAACAAAAAACAGAAACAACACCACGCTAAGGAAAACATCTCTCCACTAAACTGATGAACATTTATGCGTGTATCTGAACAAAGGACCAACTTCTGTTCCAATAAATACTGCGGAGGGCCACATGTTTGTGTTGCCACTGCTCTAGCAGGGTGCAATGGAAACCTCGTATGCTCAACTTAAATTGCCTCTGAAAACACAAACAAATAGTAAAGATAGTGATCATCGGCTTGAAACTGGATATCAAAAGCAATGCTCCACAAAACTACAACATCTAATTAAAAAATTTCGCAATTCATAATATGTTTATTTTTTTGTCAACCAAAAAACTTTAATGTGAAGTAGAGCAACAAAAGGAAGCAAAAAGTCCACCTTCTGAGTTTGCCTATGCTGTTTATGCACTATCAGCAACAGTAGGCAGTGCAGTAATTTTCCCCACAGCAACAGTTTTCCCTGCACAAATGACAGAAATTATGATCCTCCTATGTCGTGTGATAATACAGAAACAAAAAGAAATTTGAGGTTACGAACACAATGGTTTCTTACCTTCAGTGCGAAGAGTGAATCGTCCAAGTTGAGCAAAGTTGGAGAATTTCTCTACACATATCATATTATTCACCTGGCATGATAGTTTCAAGAGGTTCAAATACCAACACGAGACGTTAACCTAAGGATCTAGCTCTAAAAACAACCAAAAAAGGGTGAACTTGAAAGGGACTAGGGATTTCAAGGTAAAGCAATGATTTTGTCCTCAAACTAGAAAATCTTCATGATTCCCTGTTAGAAAGGTGGGACAAAACACAAACACATTGTGATACAGGAATTGTACCTTCTGCAAATTCAAATATAACTCGAAGTCACCCAAAATTATGAATAACAGAACCATAAGAATCGATCTAAGAACCATGTATTCCCAATCTACGGGCATTCAATTAGACAGCTAACCTGAACACGGCATAAAACAATAGCGCCATTCTTAACAAACAGAGGTTTTTTCTTCATAGGTTTCTTCGTTTTTAGATCAATCTGCTGCATCAGTTCAACAATCTCACACTCCTCAACAACCGCATGGACATGCAATACAGCTTTGTATCCAGCAGTAAAAATAGCCTGACAGCAAGAAATTCCATTAACAGAAGATTGGTAGCACATGTGCAATTTTGAATCCAAGTGAGGTAATGAATTGCTAAGTTAGGGTTGGTGGATTCATACATTGTCCAACAGCTCAAGAATCTGTAACTGCGCAACAAACTCAGTAACTGCAGGTATTGGCTTTGCTGCAAACAGTAAGCTTTGTTAGAATTCAAAAACGCTTGAAAGCTATCCACCACAAAATGATGGTCTAAACCCACTTGAGATTACAATATGAAACAACATTTAAATTTTCATTTAACCAAGAAAAAGAAATCACTTCCTCCCTCATCCTTGTAGAAAATCTTCGTATTGCCCTTTTTTTAAATTAGTTGGTAACTACATATTTGTTAGCAGACTGATTGACTTCAAGTGCAAGCTACCTCAAGAAAAGCTACAACTGAATGTGTGTTTGTTGCCCAGGTAAGGACTAAATATCAATGTTAGTTTGTTATCAAATCGCTCATAAGATATTGTTGTATGAGTAGCACTTGCGACCATTTCCTATTTGTTTCAATGCTTTTTGCTACAACTTAAATTCATTTGCATGACTTGTTCTGATATTATCATACATATCAGCTTCTCATAGAGCTCAATATCTAACTAACCTACCTGATTAAATGAAGTGCTGCCAAAAGTTGTATATTTTGCATCCTTCACAAATTCTCCGCAAAAATATGATTAAATAGAGGCTGAATGGTGGACAGCCTAGACAGAGAGCGACTCCAACACAAATAGAATTAAATACGAGTATTGCTAATTATTTGTTCTTGCTAGCCCACTGGTGCAACTGATCTTTGTAAAAGGGTGTAAACGGTTCTTTAGACAAAATCAGGGACTAACATGACATATACAGCATCATCTAAAAACATAACACCCTTCTTAAATTCACAAAAGTAAAGACTGCTAACTGCTTTGCACACCCCAGTGAAAAAATCTACTTTTTATGCCTTTTTTCCTTCGCAAATAAAACAATTAACATATTCACCAGTCCACAACCTCTGAGCTGTTATGTTATATGTATCACAATTCTTTCTCATGACATGTTATCAGATACATACCACTTGCTTACATCACATGGTCAATAGAAGTAATATTTCTTCTACTATTTAACTCGTTAGCAATAGAAACAATCACAAACAATTGGCATAGATCAAGAAGATAAGGAATGTCAATTCATTATGACAACGATTAGTTGGGAAAACATACCAACACTGCACAAGACAAAGCCTGACAAAAGGTCATCTTCCTCAACTCCAGATAACCTAACACGCACATTTTCTCCGGGACCAACATGCCTTACTCGATCTTCATCACAGAATATGGCAAGAACTTTTACAGCAGCCTATAAATCAGCTCGTGAGATGAATTTCCTCGAAAATTCCATCAATTACAAAACTTGATAAAATTAAGGTAAAAAAATAGCACCTTGTTTGGCATAATCAGTAGATTATCACCCTCACGTATGCTTCCAGACTCAATTTTACCCATAACGACAGTTCCCATGTCTTTAAATTTGTCAATAATAGGCATTCTGAAAAGAAAATGGAAATTGAAATAGGTAAACAACTTGGCACAAGTGTAGAGGGAAATTACGAGACAAGAAAAATAGAAGGAATTCCTTGCTTATGATCCGGTGAAGGGAACAAGAGCGATGATGCATAGAAAAAAAGATCAAATCAATAATGCAAATGAAATTCTCAAAAAAAAAAATTGCAAACAGAACTTCCAAGTCTTACTCCCCCCCCCCACCCACGGGATGATTGTGGATTGTGATTCGCCAAATCATTGTCGAGCAAACTAAACTAGAAGGTTAGCATTAGAATTAGAAAATATGAGTGGAGCAAGGAAACAGAAATAGGAAGATGCCACCAAATAGGCAGAAAGAGGAAAGAAGTACCTCAATGGACCATTAGGATCTCGAGGTGGAACTTCGACTGCATCAAGGACTTCAAAAAGGCAGTGACCACTCCACCATGGGCATACACTCTTCTCCAATCTAGTTTTCAAATTTGAACCCAAAAGCCCAGAGATCGGAAGGAATTGGACATCTGAAATTCAAGCACAAAGAGAACATGAATCAAGCATCAGCAGCTTAGCCAATATGTAGAATCTTTGAACATAGAGAATAACAGTTAACAGTTATATTCAATAAATGATCATAAATATGAAAAACAAGTACATCAAACAAAGAGACAATCTGCAAGTAAATAATCCTTATTTACCTTTCTTGACATTGTACCCAGATGATCTCAAGAATGGAACCATTTTTGACTCAATCTCATCATACCTTCATGAACAAGTTGGACCAAGATTAGTTTGCAAATTGATAAAACCTGGTGGGCAAAGCTAGTGTATACAGGATGTGATAATACAAGTCGAAATAGACAGAAGATCACCTTTCTTTAGACCAATTGACAGTAGGATCATCCATCTTATTTACAACAATAATAAGCTTTGTAACCCCTAGGGTCTTTGCCAATTGAACATGTTCACGTGTCTGCCCACCTCTTTCATATCCAGTTTCGAATTCACCCTTTCTAGCAGATATAACCTTCACAATAGAGCAAATAATGATCAGCTACTATTCTTATGCCTCAATCCCAACCTATTGGAGTTTTCATATGAATCCTCACTGTCCAATTCACTATATATGGACCCATTTTGTTACAGAATTCAATAATCCGGCCTTCAACATTTCCAAGTAAAGAGTTGATTCACACAAAATAAAAGACGTAAAAGATATACGACAAAAGCTCTTACCAGCACTCCAATGTCAGCTTGAGATGCTCCACTGATCATATTGGGAACATAGCTCTTATGACCCTGGTGACAAATGGAGCATAATAAGAAAAAAGATGTAGAGAGAGAATAGAAGAAAAAGATGAAGAGAGTACATAGATTACAAAGAACATCACAGTTTACGTACAGTTACAGGCAGAACTTAGTAAATTTCAACTTAAACAAGTCATTTTTTTAATAACCGAGAAATCCGTCTTGTGACCTGCCACCCTTTCGACCAATCACAGCCTTCTAAACTCGGTGGATAAAGGGCCGCCCCTCTACCCTTGTCCACTTAAATATCGGGCTTCACTTTGCATGGTGTGGGGCTTGAACATGCAACCTAAGTCACAAATCCTCCACCTTTTGCCACTCAAGCTAGGCCTAGGGAGCAACTTATAGAAGTCATTATTTTTGTTTCTTTACAATAAGGATGTGGCTTAGTAGTGAATGAAGTGGAAGGAGGACCCTAAAGTCTCAAGCTCAAATCCCAGCAAAGGCAAACAACACAAGAGGATTGCTTCTCATCTCTCTAAGCTTTGGTGAGTAGAGCTACTCGGCACCTGTAGTGGGAGGTAGCATGTATTCGTTGGGACAACTGAGGTGCAAGTTGACACTGACACTGCCATCAAATAAATTTAAGAAAGTTTGTTTGAAAACTATTCGTTACATAGTGAATCATTATTTATTACCCCCTCCATTTAAAAAAGAATGACCTACTACCCTTTTCGGTCTGTTTCAAAAAGAATAACCCTACTCCTTTTTTTGGCAACACTTTAAGACCACAAGTTCATGTGGCATGTTTAAGACTACAAGATTAAAGGGCCACAAGATAGAAAAATCTTCTTTATTTTTTCTTAAACTTCGTGAAAACTAGACCTCATTGGCTTGTCCTAAGCTTTTCGACCTTCTAGTCATGTAGTAATATAAAATAAAGGCTCAAAAGACAATTGTAGAGGAGATGAACGTCAATTTCTGGCGAAAAAAGGGATTAATCTATGATTTAAGATCAGCATGGGACTTTTTCCAAGCTATCACTCATTATAAGATCACAAAAGCACTGTTTTTAAAATAATTGAGGTGTTTGGGATAGTTTGCACACACCTAGGCTGATAACACGAGGTACCTGCTACCTCTCACCAACACAGGTAATGTGTATTATGTCCATCAAGGCTTGGACAGATGGAAAGAAACCAACTATTTTTTTTGTTACCGTTGGATTAGAACCTGAGAATTCAGTGACCACTAGGACACTCCCTTTGTTGTATTACTAAAGCACTGTATCTTCCAACAATGTTTAATGATACAAAATTGATGGTACCAAAAACACTAATATGGCATAGAGACTCACAACTTTAGATCAAGGAAAACTTTCTATAGATCTTTGAAACCATGGGGCAAACGGCACCTCTCGTGCACATAAACTCGTCACTTAATACTCGCACCTTTTCCCTCGTGCACAAGGTAAACCAGAAAAAGCATGAGGATAAAAAGTTACCGGGGCATCAAGAATTGTAAATCTTGTCGTCTCTGTTTCAAAATGTGCTCTTCCTACTTCAACTGTTATTCCCTGAAAAGGAAGTGACCAAGAAACACAGAATCACTCGTAAGCTCCTCCACATTACCAGCCCCAAAAAAGAGGTAATATACCAATTTAAGTAATAGATAAAGCAATACCTTCACCCTCTCTTCTTCATTTGTATCCATAATATAGGCCATATACCTAAAAGACATTGAAAAAGGAAAGTTAAAAACTAAAAGGAAAAGCAATAATTAATCAAAGACGGTGTGGAAGATCATTCCACATGCAAGAAACTAAACTGATGTGGACCCTCTTCAAAACTCATTATCGATAATTGTGTACTCGAAGTTAACAAGATGGAATCAAGAGATATTCTATCTCAAGAATAATCAAGCATGAAATATCAGGAACCATGCAAACAACACACAACTAGCTTCAGAATTAAAGAAACCGAAAAAAACAAGAATGAGCATCTATCTTTGCAACAACCTCTTGCAGATAGAAAGGTCAGTTGGACTCTAGGAATGTGCCTAGATTATCAGAATTAACAGGAACTAGTAACCCTATGTTCCGTAACCAAACTCAGAACTTCAAGAGTTCTAGCAGTAAACAATGATCCAAGCTTTGATAGTACAATTTCACATCCACCAAATTCTAACTCCAATTAAAAGAAAGTACCAGCAGAATTGCAGATGGCTGGTTTATAAGAAATCAATCATTTCATGGAAGTCTTAACAGAAAAATGCCACAATATCCTAAACTTGAACATCAGATGATAAGTTTTACTGGGTTGTAACTTGAGCTCTCTAATGAGGCTAACCAATCATTAGAACAGCAACTCAGTTATCATCATGCAATAAAATGACAAATAGAAGGGCTAAATCTTCAATATACACCCAAAGAAGCTAATGGTGGCAACAGAATCTTAAGCACAACAACTGTTTTCAAAAAGAAAAAGACCCTTCAGCACACACGCAAAATACTGCACAACATACTCAATGCTTTCTAAAATAACAAAATGCTCTAAAGCAACCAGATCACTTCTCAGAGCTTCCAAATTAACTAGCACATAATTCGGAATGCAAAACTAAATTACTAATTAGTGAACCTAACAAATCCATTAAAAGTGAAACAACAACTAGTTTTTCCTTGATTGCAATTATCATATCTAATTATTGCCATCAGTGGCTGCACTTCTTGTCATTCACATTTGAACAAAAGATTCACAGAAAGCAAACCATCACAATATGCAAGTAATATTGTAGATAACATACTTCTTCTTTAAAATGGTAAGGTATAAATTGCAGATAACCTACGTATTGGATGAGATCCTGAAAAGAGTGGACAATGCAAGTAGTTTATTTGAGAATTATTTGAGTCATGGTCCATTTGACATTGGTACTCGGTAAATTGTGACTTCAACAGCCAAAATTTGTCTAACTAATGAAAATCATGATAAACCAAGCTTCATAGAATGTATCGCAGGTTATCTAACAAACCAAGAGGCCACAATGAATTTTGCAAAAGTCATACACAAGTTCATCAATTAAGAAACACTGACAGCATATCTTGACTATAGTAAGCTAGTAAACCTTACCAGCTCTCTCTGTTTTTATCCTTCGCTTCTTTCTCATACTTTTGTATCGTACGGTCATCAACTTGACCACTAAGTAATAGTATTTGTCCTCCAATAGTAGACTTTCCAGCATCTGTAGGTGATATGGAGAACTCTAAGTAACAATATATGATGTTTCTCAGTTAAACAATTAGATCGCATCTTACCAGTTACCAATCAGCTTTGCGAATGAAAACTTTCACATAAAAAACAAGAAAGCGATTTTGCATCCTTTTTTAAAAATTGGAATAAGTAAAAAGTGATCTTGTATCTGACATACTGCACATGCAAAAATGGATTTTACTAGTTCAATAAGTTGGACACAGCTTACCAACTTAACCAAAAACTCAAACATCGCCATTTCAATTTCCACGCCACACCGACATCTCAATTCTCATCAAGCAACAGCTAATGTTTTACCAAATCAAGAATGGGGAGAAAAGATAAATAAAAAAAATGCAGACATAAAATACCAAAAAGATTGAGGAAAGATGCATAGAGTACTACATCCGATCCGACATACTGCACATGCAAAAATGGATTTTACTAGTTCAATAAGTTGGATACAGCTTACCTACTTAACCAAAAACTCAAACATCGCCATTTCAATTTCCACGCCACACCGACATCTCAATTCTCATCAAGCAACAGCTAATGTTTTACCAAATCAAGAACGGGGAGAAAAGATAAATAAAAAAAATGCAGACATAAAACACCAAAAAGATTGAGGAAAGATGCATAGAGTACTACATCCACAGAGTACCTAAAAACGCTCAAGATATGTTTGAGAGGTAAGACGACATACGATTTTGGGGGAAATAAATAAACGGGCAGGACCTATAAGTCCTTAATGATAAAAAAATATCAGTACCATAAAAGAATTTCAAAAAAGACAGAAAATAAAACTACATTGTACCAATAGTTATTTCCTCATTTACCATATTATTTTGTTTGCCTAATTTTCCTTCTTGATACTTGGGAGATTTGTACTCATCAAGCTTCACTACAATGACAATCATGCATCAAGTGTATAAAGAGTAAATAGAAAAAGGAAGACTTACCCACGTGACCAATAAATACCACATTCAGATGCCTCTTTTTATTGACTTCAACCTCCACCTGCATATCTTCTGGGGGAGAACTTTCTTTTCCAGAGACACCCTTTGGATCGACATGCTCTGGCTTTAAGTCTGGATGTGCTTCATCTCTTAACTCTGATACCGTCAATGAAGTAAACAATTACGTAACAGTTTGAATAAAGGTTTCAGTAATCTAAAGATATCATTTTTCACCAAAACAGTTAAAACTCTAAATACCCCAAAAGTTCTCCCTTTTGTAAAACTTGAATACACCAAAATGCCCTATGAGTAATGTAACAAAGTAGGGAGGTGTCAACAAAAGAGTTAGGAACAATTATCATTGAAGGGTGGCTACTTGAAGACCTCAATAAGGATTCTCTCAAGGTAAATTTCCATAGATATAGTACCCAATAATCTTCGTATAAGCTGAATCACCAAAACATCAATGTCTGTGACTACAAAATTGCCAAGCTGTGAGACCAGTCTCTCTCCTCTCTGCTGAGCAGAACACCAGAGAGAGAGGCACAAGTAGCAACTGATCTCCCTCTTTTGAACAGTAAGGCCCACAAGATTACTCTTTGTGAATACAGTTAAAAGAAAAGGCTCAATCCCCATTACACTGACATCTTTCTGCAACATAAAGCCATCATTTCAGCGCAGATGACATGAGCCCCTTCAGCTAATTTCAGCATGATTCTTTTACCTACTCCCACCTCAAAAACCCTCCCAATCAAGAGGAGATGAAAATTAGGAAACTCATCCAGATCATTGATCTCATACCAAATCACATCAATAGAATCACTTTTTTGAGAAATTACGAGACATCTAAGTCATAAAGTAAAGAGATCTATTCATTTATAAGAAAAAGAAAAAACGGGGATCAGATTTATGATAAAATAGAATCCCGTAACTAGGACAAAAAGTTGTTTTATAGATGCAGATTTCCCGGTCAAGCATATCAAAAGAAATCACTTAATAACACAAAAGAATAACCTCCACAAGAACCAGATGATGCATAATCTGTTCATGAATCTACCTACCATCTTCCGGCATATCAGGTTTCCCAACATCATCAGTCTTCCTCTCTTCTTCCATAAAACTATCCTCTACCATTTAATAAACAATCAAAACGTCATCCAGAAAGTTCCTAATGATATCAATGTAGGACATGAAAGCAGGGGGTAAAAGTATATCGACATATAATATATGAAAGAACAAATGTACAAGGTATCAAAAAATAGATTTTAGAAAGATATTAGCAGAAACTAAGAACAAAGTCTAATAGCCTTTGCAAGTTACAATATAAAAAAGGAACATTTTCTCTCCTTTGGAAAAAATAAAAAGTAAGTAAATAGGGAAATCATGATTTTTGAACTCTGTAGGTAGTTTCTTGTGTGCGTTACCATCCAAAACTAAAAGCAACAAACTTTCATGAAGCCTACTAAAAGTAGTGATTTGAAGGACTCTAAACCTTGTCAAAGATACTTAAGACAATCGCCCCCAAAGAAACAAGATTTAGAAAACGACAATGTCAAAGTTAACAGTAACATCACATGATCGCATATAAATATAAGACCAACAAAGGATTTCTTCTTAAAAAAAATTGTCCTATGGGGATAATACCTAACTACCAAGCAGGAAAACAAAAGAAGAGAAGTCTTACATGCACCCCGAGGCCCAAAAGAGCAAAGAAGCATCTAAATATACACAACAACAGGCCTAACTTTTAAACCACGAGAAGTTTCAATGATGTGAGTCCACCAAAGAAAACTAAGAAGAGAAGTCTTACATGGACCCCCAGGCCCAAAGGAGCAAGGAAGCATCTCATATACACAAGAACAGGCCTTACTTTTAAACCACAAGAAGTTTCTATGATGTGGATAATAATTACAAATCTTGGGGAAGGAGAGAAGCGGAAGAGGGAGAGGGATCAAATTTAATTATAGACTTTTTTACAAATCAATATAAATCATGAACTTAGCAATAATATACTGACATCAGACCATCGCAATGAAAAGACCACTTCTAAACACTACAAGCAAATAGCCACTCAAGAACAAGCAAGGCAAGACATCAGTGAAGTTGCTACTAACCTCCATCAACTTTATCATGTTTTATAGCTTCACCAGGTCTAGCATCTTCCACGTTGACCAACACAGTATCTTCTGCTGACATTCAATCACAGATTAGACACTCAAAACCATATTTCCTTATGGTAAAGTAATGTAAGCCATTAATGGTCGACTTCAATGATAAGTGGATAAACAATCTATGACTACATAAAAAAACCTAGGTGGCAATAAGAATAGAACAAATCATAGAACTGCTGTAATTAATGATATACCAGATGAATCAAGCTGCAGCGCCTTGATGTCCTCTTCAATATCTATCACATCAAACAACCAAAAGTATGAAATCCATGAATCCGTCATACCCCAACAATCTCAGAAGTTATCAACAAATGGGAGAAAACCCAGTAAAAAAAAAAACATCACAGAAGTCATTATCTATAGAAGGTGAGTTCGGTATGGAGGAATATGTTATCCATCGAACACCTGACATGTATCGGTAAAAATGTTTTTCTTTTGGTGAGTTCGGTATGGAGGAATATGTTATCCATCGAACACCTGGTAAAAGATATTTTCTTTTAAAACATATCATTTTAACTAGTTGACTATAAATTAGATACAATACATCAATGATGCTATTAGTAATATGAACATTAGAACCCAATACTAAAGAAAACTAATCATAGCAAACTGTTGTCCTATGTTTTTGAGCAAATTAACTCTAATTGCTTCAACAAAATCTCAATTGACATCTTGCTTATCTATGCATTGTACTAACAGAAACTTCATGAAAATTGAAGGGAATAAATCATGTTGTTAGTGAAAAGTGGTTGAATGGCACAAACATATCATAAACATTTAGTTCATGATGATAATACATAAGATACAAAGTAAGAATTTTCAAGATAATAATTTAAAAATAGATGTTATTATGCAAAGTAGGATTACAATGTATATGTTTAGTTGTTGTAGACATTATTCAATTTAACCCCAATAACTCCTAACTACTAATTGAATTAAATTGTTATTATAAGAAAAGGACTTCCTTAGTCCTAACATTAAAAGACACTTCCTTTTTAAGCTACAAATCGCCTATGTATTAGTTTTTCAAAAGATTTTTGTTGAATTTTGATGAAAAGAGAACTTTATTCTATATTAATTCGACTAAACCAAAATCAAATAGTTAATAAATTAGTATAGATTGAAACTTACAGAGTTCACCATTATTAACCTAAGGATATACTATTACAACATACAAACAAACAAAGGACATAATCCAGGAAATATATCAAGGTGACCAAACACTGAAAAACCATGAACAGATATTCTATCATTAAAAACTCCAACAAGCGAATTGTCTTTTACTGAATTTCTACGAAATCGACTACTGAGCTCTTCTCAAATAAGCTATAAGGATATTAGATTATCAGTCAAAGTAAATAGCTTCTAATCTAACTCAGTATGCAAATTCCGCCAAAAGAATAATGGACTAAATGCGACGATAAACCCTAGATTGAAAAATCGATAGAAGAAGTGAAGATCTGATACATAACATATAAATCAGCAAGCGAGAAAAGCTACATACCCATGGGGCTCGGTTAATTGAGTGAGAGGACGCGTAGGGTTTGTGCTTGCGGTGACAATAAATTGAAGGTGCTGCTGATGAAAATCTATTGGAGGCTGCCCGCTTCTTTTTTTTATACCACTTGCTGAAACCGTAACCTGGGGTTTTAGGATCGGTTCAGATGTTAAACCGGCCTGTCAAACTTTTTTTTTTTTTATTTTTTTCTTTCTTTGGACTATTTTTAAACTTAAAAAGCTTTTCTTTTTTTTTTGGTTCATAAATTTTTTTGGATCAGTAATTTAAGTCATATCTTACATCAACTTAGCAAATTCTGAGGATTTTGATTTTTTGTATCGATCTAGCGTGAAAGTTTGCCCTACAAATTGATATTAATTTTGTCTTTTTTATATGTTTTTTCTCATTTGATTTAATTATCATATTTTGTATTCAATTCTGTATTTTTATTATTTTTTGTGTTTTGAAGGTCCTCAAAGCGACTAAAAGTTTGCCATTTACATGATTGCATCAACAGATATCTTCCCTTTCCAACTTTACACAATATTGATATCACGTTTTAGAAAATAAATGCTCAATGGGGTTTATTTTATGTCTCATATATATGACATACTATACTACCAAACTCACTTCACTTCATTGATCAATCTCTTGTATGTAATCTGTTATGAAGTCTTAGCAACAATGCAGAGATAAAATTTAGAGAAAAATTAAGAACACACAAAAGCAAGTTCATCTGGCGAGTTAACAAAGGCTGGGAGATGTAGGAAAAGAGACATATGAAGTGATGATTTAATGAAGATGGAGGTAAACAACAAGCAAGAAACTCCAATACATGAAGATTAAGCAAAACAACTTAGATTTATAGCAAGACAGATATCCAATGTAACAAAATAAAAATCCAAAATTGAAACAGTTGAGGCCTCATAATAATGAAAAACACGGAGAATCTTCAAAATCTAAAAGACTTTTAATTCAGTATTGGCCAAATGGCTCGCGTCGATCCTCTTCTTCCCTAATAACGTCCAATTCCCCAAACTCTAATCAGACCATCTGTATAGCCACTGAAAAGTGTGCTTCCATCAGCACTCCAGCTCAAACTGGTGCAGTATATGACCTGCCAATTTAGATGCAATTATATTTAGATTCATCATTCACGTCACAGCAATGGAAATATCACATTACAGTAACTGGGTTAACAGTGGCGCAGTCCAGTACATAGTAACAGACTCGAAAACAGAAAAACTATAGGAGCAAATACGTCTTTACAATTCAGAGGCATATTAATCCTATCTGCTGAAAAACTATAGGAGCAAATACGTCTTTACAATTCAGAGGCATATTAATTCTATCACTGCAGATACAGTGTACAATTAGCATTACAAAAAAGTGCTTTATCTACCAAAAAGAGAAGGAAATACAGGACACCACAAGTGACAAATTACACATAGACGATCGATACTATAACAACATACCCACTGTAATCTCACCAGTGTAATCTCACAACTCAGGACTCAGAGGGTAGAAATCACAAACCTTACCCATCTTTGTGGGGTAAGTGAGGTTATTTCAAATAGACTCTTAGCTCAAACAAATGCTTTAAAAGTAGGATTGCAAGAAAAATATGGCAGCAAAATAAAAAGACATAATGTAAATAAAGCACCACAATTAGTAATACAAATTGAAGAATAAGAGACTATGTGACTACTAGATAATACTACTAACGAAGAGAAGAGGGGAGGAGACCACCCCCACCTAACCCTCATAATGTGTGACAACAATCGGCCACCTACTACCCTTCTATGTTCTACCCTTCCTAGTTAGGGCCATGTCTAATCGCCTCCCCGTGTTATTTTTCATCCTATCTCTCCTATCTATTATTAGGGTCAATCTTTCATATTTACTAGGGCGTCTGTGTACCTCTGATTGACATGCCCAAATCATTATAAGCTTGTCTGCCACAAGACCCACTCTGTTTAACTTCGTTATTACATTGCCAACACAATTCTTGACTTGCTAACACTATACCTGAAAAAACAATATTGATCTAACCACCGCTCTGTGAAATTGACCTTTGGTCACACATTCTTATAGCACCATTCGCCATCATTCACCCACACCACTTAAATGTGACATGTAATATCATTTAGACTATTACCCTGTCTCTGAACTTCCATAGCCTTTCATTAACAACTTAAAAATCAGAATATCGATACTACAAAAAATGGATATTCTGAACTTCCACAGCCTTACTACTGCAATTTCCTGACCACAAACAAAAACAAGTGGCTGGAAAGCTCCATATCCTGCAATGCTTCATACAAAGTTTCTCATGGCACCAAAACTCAAAATAAAAAGTTACAAGCAAAAGCTACAAGTATCCTATATAGTCCTAACCAGTTCCATATGGAGTGGAAATCATTTCCATAATAGAAATGTTCCCTTAAAAATCATTTTTAAATCATTTTCTTAGTATTTGAACGAGTACAAAAGTGGCTGATATAATAATTGATTGATTATTAGATATTAACAACAATGAAGTATTGATTGACATAAAATAGAATTAACGTTGGGATATTTGAAAGATAAAACAAACCTTGGTTTTGGAATCGGTAGCAGCAGTTCCGAACATTTCACTCTCTTGTTTCAGATCAACTTTAAGATCAACCACGATGCTTTTGCTCTCCAAATCCCAAATCTTGATACTAGATTCAGTAGCAGCACAGAGCCAATACCTATTCGGGCTAAAACAGAGGGTGTGGATAATGGAGCCAGCATCAAGAGAGTACAGTTTCTTCCCTTCAGCCAAATCCCATAGCAATATGACACCATCTTTCCCTCCGCTAGCACACAACGAACCATCTGGGGACACGGCCACAGTATTCACATACCCGCTGTGACCCGCAAGAGTAGACCTGAGCTTACAGTTGGTGAGATTCCAGATTTTGACAGTGCGATCCCATGAACCAGACACAATAGTGGGCTGAAGATTATTTGGGCTAAAACGGACACAAGAAACCCAATCAGAGTGTGAATCCTGTTCCTGAATTGTGTACTTGCACTCACCGAGTGTGTTCCATAGCTTGATGGTCTTGTCACGGGAAGCAGAGACAATCTGACGGTTGTCAACAGAGAATGCAACAGAGAGAACATCTTTAGTGTGTCCAACGAAACGACGAGCAGTTGTTCCAGCTTGAAGATCCCATAAACGGAGCTCACCGTCCCATGAACCGGAGAGTGCAAACATGCCGTCAGACGACAACACGACATCTTCAACGAAATGGCCATGTCCGGTAAGACGGCGACGAGGGACACCGTATTGTGAGCCGTCTTTAGTCAAAGACCAGACGATGATGGACTTATCCCTGGAGGAGGTGACAATCATGTCGGAGTTGTCAATTGGGGTTGCAATAGCAGTGACCCAGTCAGTGTGGGCTTTCATGGTACCGCGGAGGACTAGTGATTCTTGCGACATTTTCTCAGATTGGTGGCGGCCGTCAGTGAAATCACCTTTGGTGGCAGAGAAAGGAGAGGCGGAGATGAAAATGGAGAGAAAACTCTAGGGTTTTAAGCGGATGTATTTATATGAGAAAATTTAGGGTTTTTTAGAGTGTTGTTAATGGGTGCAGGCAAACGGGTCTGGGTACTGAATTTCGGGTTGTTTGAATACATGAAAGAACCAACTTCTCTTGAGGCCCATTAGCACCTTATAATCTCATAAATTTGATACTGTATATAATTTAGGGGCAAGGCTCATGATTCGACCATCATGTTAGAGATTATTAGCCTATGTTAGTTAGGGCTCTCCAAAGTTGATGTTGAGCATGCGTCAGATTCTTCAAAAAAGACACTATTTTTAAAGAATCAAACATTCACCTATCATTATTTTTAAAGACTTCAAGCAACATAGTTACTAACTATAGTCTCTCTTCAATAAACATTTATTACGATTCATGGCTCTATTTCCATCAAGAAATGGATGTTCATACCCTTTGCTAATTTGGGGTTCATGGCTCTATTTCCATCAAGAAATGGATGTTCATACCCTTTGCTAATTTGGGGTTCTTGATTTTGCTTCACTTCTCGGCTTTATGTAGTTATATTCAAAAAAGCAGATTCAAAGTTTCAAAGCCGGCTTGATTTAAAATTTTGATATTCCACAATCGTGAATCATTTCGAGAGAATTATAATAAGACTCGAAATATCTAGAGGAATTCATATCTAAAATTGAGAATTGTTTAGAAGTGGTTTTTAGTTTTTATTAAGATTGAATAGTATTCTTCATGTATATGGAGTACATACAGTTAAGTTACATTCGATTTTTTGCATGTATAAGCAGTGTATAACTCATATACATGTAAGATATAATGTACTATAACTCATGTATACGTAAGATATATTGTACCGTCATGGTATAATTTATGACTTTTAATATAAAACATGACTATATTTGTTGTTAACTAATTACTTTATTGTTGATATATATCAAACTGTCCCTTTTAAAATTCAATTATTTAATAAGTATGCATGTTTAGTCTTAATTATAAGTATGCATGCACTGCGTCGAAAATAATTTTTAGCACCAATAAATACACACTAAATAAAGAACGATAAAGTCTTTACCACCATTAGTTAATTGATATTGAATCCACTATCGCTATAGACTTTAGGGACATTTACAAAGAGTGGTCAAATGACGTTATTAAAATATATTTTTAGCGACAATTAAGTTAATTGCCGCTAAAAATCATTTTTGACGTAGCGATGTTAGTCCCAACTCTTACAAATGGAGGCTCCATTCATTTTTTTCTAACACCATCACACAACCAAAATAATTACAGTTTCACGAACCTGAATCGATGAATACAGAGGAATGTATTTACTCTAGGTGACATTTGAATCAGCAAGTAGACAAGAACAAGTCTTTTTGGAGATCAACTACAGCAAAATTTTGAAAAGAGTTATGCAGTAAAGTTTATGTATGCCAAAACAAAAAGTAGGAGGTAACAATAAACCGATGCCTGAAGAGAAGTTGCAGAAGATTGATCGTTGATCTCTGAGGAGTCGACTGCAAGTGGCAAGCCGTCACTGTTAAGTGTGCATGACTGAGGATTCGAACCGTCTTCACTCATCATTAGAGCCCTTAAAACAGCAG